AGTAACTCGATCGAAACACAAGTTAAATTATATAAGTAGATCAGAATTCATTCTTTCCTCGTGAAATGAATGAGACATCTCGCGAGGAAAAGAAAATCTTCCGGATTTTTCGTCAGTTCGTGCGCGCGCATTTGACTTCATTGTGGAAACTAATCAGTCGATTATCTTGAACGGCATGAAATCCATCCAACATCTTCATTGTTTCCACGCTTCATCACTTGACTCTCGTGACTCGTGCGATTAGTTGCGGTTTTTTTTATTCCCTTTTTTTCTCTCCCTTTTGGCTGTCATACGATTGTTACACAATCTACGTAGGCTATTTGTCATTTCTCGATTTTCAAACGCTCAAACAAAGTGTCAAATGAAAAGAGCCCTTTGCAACGTCTCATGCACGCATTCCGAGTTCATTTTTGGGGTCACAGCAACAAGTTCTCATAGATGTAATAGGGTTTATATTAGCAAAAAAGATCTATCTAGTAATACACACGAGCAGCTTTTCAAAATAGGCGCTATACTTTAACGTCATAATATGAGTCGTCAGAGGTGTTTCCAAAAGTCTAAAATAAATGTACGGAGAAAAAATCTAAAAATTCTCCTTCATTTTGCCGTGATACCAAAAAACTACATTGGAGCTCGAATAGTTGCATGGTTAATATACTCTTCCTGTTTAACGTTATAGTCACGAAAGTAATATAACTTTATTCCTATTAGCACGTTAGGTCGTATCGAGTTATTTCAAAATCACACCGCAGCCTTCATATAAGGTTTGCGTCTTGAGAGTTTTACCTCATAGAATTCCATCAAATCCTTGTGCATTTCGATGCTGAACACTTTCGACTACGTACACCATGCAAAACTGCAACAAAGGTATTCGTTAGCTCCCTCCAGTCTCTAAAATGTAGAAAAACTAGTGCCTAGGTACCATTTATACTTTGATTGTAGAGGAGGCTCGCTAAAAAAAGATCTACCTATGCAACAGCACCGAGACTTTCTTGACTAAAACCACCCAAGATCATGTCGAGTCAGATTCACATCACAGCCCATTTTCACTGCATTTTTGCGTAAGCGTTGTCTCCTGAGCGATCATTTCCTTGAAGATTCAACATGTGGCACCGTATTAACAAATCCTTTCCCTGGGTTAAGTCATATTAATCCTCTTAGTGCGATCAGCGATAGGTCAAATGGACTGCATTTTGCAATTTGGAACTGTAAATCCTGGCTCTTCTGGAAAAACACTTATGCATGCATGGGGAAACTAATGGCACATACGTTGTTTTTAAACCGGGCTAGAATTTATAGCTCCAAATTGCAAAATGTAGTTCAAATGCGTCCATCATTAGAGTAATGCTGCAATGAGTTTCGTTTTTCGCCAAGATAACGGTTCGGCTTGTCTTCAATTTTACTCCGTCGCCGTTGATTGATTAAATCGATGATTGTTGCCATTCTGAACAGAATCATTTTCAGTTTTTATTAGTGCGGAATTCAAGAGATGATTTTCTACCGGTTTGACAATGCAGAAAACTCGTAGGATAGCAGTAACGGCGCCTTACTACGATTTTAGGAAGCGACCATTTCAGCGAGACAGAGTCATTTTTTGGCCCGAGCCATTCAATGACAGTGAATAACTTGTTTTCACTGGTACCAAAATCGTCTTCGCCTGACCACTAAATTTTGCTTACCTCGACCATTTTGCAATTAACCGCTCAGTTTAAGTATTAATCAGCTCCAAAAATTGCAAAAAACTATTATTAGGGTCCGACGCAGTCTTTGTACATTTTTTTTTTTTTTTTTTTTTTTTTTTTACCTTTCTGAGGGTTGACATTGATGGATTTTGGATTATACAAAAACTACCCTACTATGGAGTACTCAATCGCCCACTCATACTTCCAAGACCTCCAAAAAATAAGAAAACGGCACCACTACCTATCAGTCTTCCTAAAAAAATACAACTTAACAATATGCCAGAGCATTTTGAAAACATCGAGAATTCTAGCTTCCATCAGTTTTTTTCGTTATTTGCACCCCCCCCCCCCCCTTAGAGTGAGTCATTTTTAAACTAAACGATCAACCTATCCCTGTTTCAAATAATTTTTTCCCAGAGGACAAGATTCCTTCAGAGAGATGTCAAAAATTATGTACAGCAAATGACATTAAACTATTTTTCAAAATCTTACATTAATCATGTTAACAGTCACGTAGGCGCTGACCTTTCGCGGTACAATCTTCATTTTCAATATTACGCGTTTACGTAACTCGTCACTCGTAAAAACGAGCGGGACTTCGTCCTTGGCGTGGAAGGGTGTAACGTTTCGTGTTAAAACCTTATTGCTGACAGCAAAGACAAGGGACTCGATACCACAACTAACCTAAATTATTAATTGGAGACTAATTTCCTGTCTAGGTACTGTCGGTCCTGAGACAATATTGGTTCTTACGACGCTCGTCGCCCGGTGTTGATTTCATCTTCCCGTCAGAGTGACACGTGCTTCTTGGGTGGGAATCGCAGGAAGTTAGGTTATTGGCTGGTTTTCTTGAGAAAGTTGGCTAGGGGTTGTGGTATTTATACCGCGGGACATTATTTCAGCGCTGCGGGGCTTATTAAAATGTATTAGAGCTCTGAGATGCAAAATAAGTTTCTTCGTTTTCAATAAAACCTCCAAGAAAATACCAACTTCATTCATAAAAATTCTGCCAATTTTCCAAGCAAGAGTAAAAATTTGTGAGACTCGTTTGAGAGCTGATTTTCTTCCGGTTGTTTTAAGTATGGTTTTATACTGAAAATGAGTACATCCTTCAAAACTGTCAAGTAATGTTTAGATAACTAGCTTTTATTCTACTTTTTATGAAAACCGATCAAGTTATTTCATTCAGTATAAGTTATAACCCTCACGGAACTAGTGATAAGTAACTTTTGTTCAGTATAGGTAGAAGTTGATTCTAATGAATGATTCATAGTCATGAGGTAATAAAAGGTTAAAGTAAAAATATAAAATTGGAAATGTTACCCACTATGAGTTTTTTCCGAAACGTAATTCATCAAAAATACCTAACCATTAAACGATTTCCCCTCTTCTATATGATAATTAGAATAGAAACTTGACATTATGAACGAAAATTATGTAAAATTAAATCACTAAAATGCTAAATTGTGTGTTTGAACTTAAATAATCGATTTGTGTTTTTGGGAGCGGATCTAAGAATGATATGAGGTATTTAATACTTTGGTGCTTACAGTGCGCCGTTCGGCAGTGCCGTCTAATGTGGAGCGATAGGAGCGGTGTAACTGGGCGCCCCCGTATATTCTGCAGAGGGCGTCAAAATGAAAAAGAAAGAGGAAAGGAACGAAGGAAGAAAAAAGGAAAAAAGCAACAAGAGAGAAGATGAAAAGAAGGTATAAGGAAAGTTATCGGGCCTCGTTTTTTGACTTTTCTGCCGAGTCCGTGCGATACAGCACCTCATTGACAGGAAAGAGTGAAGCACTACGAATTCGCATCTCGCGCCGTCGCGCCTTCAATTTTGCAGACGCAACACGGACATCCATCAAGCACGAATAGTTGTATCTCTGCGCCGTCAGAAACGCGCGACCTTTCACTCGCTCTATTTCCATGTTATCGTGTTTGTCTCGTTTTTCTTATCTATAAAGTTGCTTCAAAGGGCCACGTGAGTAACACAACCGAAGATAGGAGAAAACGTAATCGGGCCTCGCTTTTTAACGTTTCCCCCGAATTTGAGCGACACCTCATTGGCAGCATGACGCGGAGCATTGCGAGATCATACCTAGCGGCATCGCTCCTTCAATTTTGCAGATGCAACATGGACATCCACCAAGCACGAATAGTTGTATCTCTACGCCGTCATCAATGCGCATTGTCGCTTATTTTTGATTGGAGAAAAGTTGAAGTTAGGTTTGCTCAAAAGATACTATTGTACGTCCGAATCAATATTTATTTTGAAAAAGAAGAAAAGTAAAAACTTGTTGGTAGGTCTCTCAAGCGCCCAAAAGGACGCACGTCTAAAAATTGGGCTTTTAGATAGAATTTTGTCGCGTTAGCGCAAGTTTGATTAAGTATTTCTTACCTTCAAAAATATTAAAATAATTTTGATACTACTTCAAAACTATAAAAATCGATGCATTTAAATAAGGGTCAAAAAAATTTGATTCGACTTGGGGCGTTGCGTATAGAAAAAGTCTTAGGCATCTAAGGGTTAATGCTAGGATCAAAATAATATAGCTTCAGTGAATTTTTGGTTTCCACTCACTCTCTTTACCTTCTCTCAAATCGGATATTTGGTAATCATTTCATCGCAGTTAAAATATCTGCACTCGACGTTATTTGTTGGACCTTGTTGGATGAGGAACGAGTGGTTTCAGGCTGCTTATGTAAGGCGTGATGCACGCATAAATTCTCGTTTGATGGAAATGCCTTTAAATGGTTCTACGTCTTTGAACTTTAAATTCTAAGAATTTTCGGAAGAGGACTCCGGACTGGAGTCGAAGTGCCTAACGGTGCGTTTGCTTCACGTGGAAAAATACCTCGCGACGGCACTGCCTTCCAAGACACGGCGAGAATTTTTTTTAAAAAAAAAAAAAAAAAGGTAATTGAGGGAAGTAAGTATAGGTATGCTCAATGTTCATTCCTAGGATTGATGTTTCTTGCCACAGTTTTATATTCACACGGGGAAAAAAAAATTGCTGATTCAACAATTCAATTGCTAAAAACAGTGAGTGCAATGTTTCAATGTAGATTTTACAACAAAAAAATGCTACTTTAACCACCCCCGTGGTTAAATTAGTTTACAATGTGGTTAAAGTAGCATTTTTTTGTTGTAAAATCTGCGTTGAAACATTGCACTCACTGTTTTTAGCAATTGAATTGTTGAATCAGCAATTTTTTTTCCGTGCACTACCACTACGAAGAAAACTGGTTTTTTCTTCTTTTTTTCGTTTTGTTTTTCTTTATTAAACTTCGAATTGATTTTTGCCTCGTCTTTTCTTTCAGGACAATCCGGCCATTCATCTCGAAAAAAGCTGACGAGCGTCGGCGCTTCATATTTTATTCAATCTATGGATGGGGCTTTTCCGCGCTTTTGACATCTGCGACAATTTTCGCTGACACCCATCCTAATTTGATTCCTCGAGTGCTACGACCGGAAATGGGAACCATCTCGTGCTTTCTTTCCAGTAAGGGCAATACTGATCAGTTCACAAGTTGCATTGAGTGCTTCAAAAAGTTTCAACGTTTTGAGTAAAGATGCCAGTACCCACTCAGCATGATATCTTGAAGCAATGTTGTTATTTGCTGACATATGTTGATGTAATGTTACTACTGTGGATGGAATGTTAAATCAGGATTATCAGGATAAGACTGACAATATCAACATTGATGTACCTAAGCTTGATAGACCGGCAATCGAGGAGATGTCAAGAAGTGTCAACCTGATAACAATGTTGACGGGGCGGGCTTATCAATATTATGTAAGATTATTGTAATGTTACTTCAACCTTACTATCAATGTTGTTGCAATGTTCAGGCTAGTCCCTGGCAGTAGCACATCAACATTGATGCAATCTTACCTCATTCTTACTAAGATGGATATAATATGGCTGCAATGTTGATGTGTAAGATGTGCAATATTATACTATGATTGTATTAAGGTTTTATGCTGAGTGGGTACATTGCTCTTGGATCCCGAGGAAAGATAAAATACGCATTGTTTCAACAGTCCACATGCCTGTTGAGGAGTACAGACAAATTGTCGCCGTGAGCGAAAAGAATGTCCTGAGGACAGCCGCCGGCTGTTCACAGGTCGTCACCTTCCGGCCAAAGTATCACAAGCACCATGAGACAATTAAAAATTTCTGCCGCCATTTTATATTTTTATAGAGAAATTGTTCAACGAAGCTGTCCATACAATTCACTAATTTTCTTTGTGCTGTCGATAAAATTCAGTAAAATTTTCAAACAGATTCAACCAACAATTATTCCCTATGGAAACTAAAATGGCAGCGAAAAAACGTTGCATAGAGCTTGTGATACTTTGGCCGGAAGGTGACGAGATAAGGAAGTAGGCTGTTGAGGCAAAAATGTCGTCCACCGACTGATCTGCCATACTGATACTATACATCAAGTCATTATTTTTCTTCTTCACCATCGATTTAGCAAAATAAACACTATTTAATTGTTACGAGAATGGAAGAAAAATGAGTTTTTTTTTTTTTTTTTTTTTTTTTTTTTTTTTTTTTAAGTGGACTCAATTGGCTAAAATTTGTTAAAGTTTCAGTATTGGGTAAGGCCGTGGTTTCAATTTGTGGCAATCGATGTCATTCAAGAGTCAGTTTTGTTGAAAGTCTTCTATAATTTTCATAGCATAGGTACTGCAAAGCCTTGCGCCTCTGACTTGAATATGATAGCACGGTAGTTAAGCAGCAGGCGAGATAAGCATTTGATTGACCATTTATTTATCGTCATAATTTTAAGGAAAGGTTATGGGGATAATGATCAGGTCACTTTAAAACTGTTTTCCTCTTTTGGAAGAGAAAAGTTTATTTTTAATAGAAACATTTTTTTTTAAATCGTTTTCACTGAAGTTGACTTGCAGTGAAACGTTTACATTTAAAAAAAAAAGCTTTATCTGTTGATTAAAAATAGATGAATCTATTCGTCATGTTTGTAAAAAAATAGAGATTTACAAAAATTTCCTCTGTTTCAGCGCGGACATATGGCCTACTGGTATTTTTCTGCGTGCCTGTTAGTATAGCATTTTCGATGAATATTACCCTTTTTATACTTACGGCAAACTACTGCTACAAAACTAAATCAAGACTTGAAAAATTGGCCGTTACCGACCCGGCAAAAAAGAAGTACAAAACTGACAAAAACAAGTAAGTCTTTTCAGGTCAACATTGAAGTTACAATAATTTTTGTCGCACTAAGGTCGCGCGCGGAGGGTATGGATTCGATTGACATGGATCGATCGAAAAATGAAAAAGTGAATTGATCGACCCCGATTCGATCGACAAATGATTAAGAAATCGGTGTCACAAGCCGTCCTTAGAGATTAGAAACTGAGAGTACCTATGACGATTCTTTGGGCCTTTTTGTTTAATTATTGTGTCATTTTTCGAGTTTTCCGTGATCTGGGAAGTAACATTTCGACAGATGAGATTGTTTTTTCAAAATTCATCGTTTACAGCATTTAAGCAGTGACAATAGAGTAAAAATTGAATTTTTATAAATAGTTAGGTACAAACGTTTAACTCTAGGCGTTAAAACACACTGAATGTAGTGAAAATGGTAATGGATGCAATTTTCGGGGTAATTCTTTAAATCGTAAAAAAATTGAAATTGAACGAGTTCTTTCTTTCGATCGGGCTGAGGAGAGGCTATGACATCCCCTCCTCTCATCTATGAGTAACAATACCCTGCATGAAAGGTCTTTTGGTGCAAAAAGAAATAGGAGAGTTGAGAGGGAAACAGGGGTTATTCTACTGGCGGGTGCAACCTGAGGTTGCGAGATCAAAAAAACGCCTTCAAAATGATGAGTATGCAACTCCACAAACGGTTGTATATATTGGTCCTCCTCACGCGACGACGCGGCGGAAAGCGCGTGCAAGTGCAACTCAGATAAAAAAGTAAGCGAAGATCCGCCGAGGTAATTTAATGAAGGGTTCGAGTATCAATATCCCCAAAATAATTTTTCAAACTAATTAGGCGTACTTACTTAATAAGGCCAATAAAATAAAAAAAATATCCAACCATATTAAAAAAACCAATGGCTTATGGCTATCCAATAAAATTAAAACCCGAAAACTTGAAAAGTTGAAGGATTCTCGGTGGATGAAAGTACTCGAGCCACTGAGCGTGGTTGTGCCCAGAAATTACCATGTATCTAAAATTTCTTGAGGTAGATATTTTTATAGATAAGGGGGGGGGGGGTCCTGGTTTGTCATAGGCACGTATGGCTTATGAAAGCTATTTTTGACCCCATATTTCGCCGGTACTAGTGATTTATAATGCATGTCCATAATTACTGACGTCTATGTTCAAACTTATGACACCGATTAAGGATTAAGATACACATTGAAGCCACTAATTATTCTATGCTTGATGAGATGTATTTATTTTTGAAATTTTGAGATCACATATTTTTTATGGGAGCAGGAGGCCACATTCAACGTTAATTGATCATCCAAGTTCACTGATTAATGATGAGCAAAGATAAATCATGATAGCTTCAAAGGATGATTTAGATTGCATTTTGCAAAAAGGAACCTCAAGCGTTCCAATGTCGCTTTAATTGTGCAACTTTTTTTACCTTGCAAATGTAAACTGTTCATCAAAACAAGTTTTATTCTGACTCCTATAAACCATGAATTCAATACGAAAATTAAAATCACCATCGTAAATTTAATTTTTTTGCAAGGTTTCGAGGATTATATTACAAGGAATATAAATTGCACAATCCTAGCAACATTGGAATGCTCTTTGTTTCTTTTTGCAAAATTCAATCTATTTCACAAAGCCCAAAAAGAAATCTCAATTTTTTTTTTTTTTTTTTTTTTTTTTTTTTTTTTTTAAAGAGAATGCAGCAATTATTTCTGAACTAGGGATGGTGGAGTAGGCACTAAACTGCGAAAATTCTGTTTCTCAGGCTTATCGTGATGGGCAAGCTGATAGTGATGATGGGGCTAACGTGGGCCGTTGAGGTGATCTCTCGCCTGGAGTTGTTACCCTTACAAGCATGGTATCTTTGCGATCTAGTCAATGCCCTTCAAGGCTTCCTTATATTCATTACCTTCGTGCTGAAGCCCAGAGTGCTCTCAAGCCTTGCCAACAGACTGCGCTCTCATCAACCCAGCACGTCCACAATGTTCACGACAGCTGCATCAGATTCAAGAATTAACCACAGTGGCAGATCATCCAGCAGGGCTTCGCAATAAAACATGAAAGATGCCGGGACGTCTGAAGATCCATCCAAGATGATGGTCGAGAGGATGAAAATTAATTAAGGGTTGATAGGAGAATGATAGGTTTTCTTTATTTTTTTTTTGCTGTCTTTCCTTTTCATCGTCACTCTTGAAGCAAAGGCTTGTGAAAAACGTGGAAAAATTTCAAAAATGTAAAAATTGTAAAAAAAGAGGCTAGTTGACGAAATCTGAAACGTACTTACTTTAAAAAACAAACAAACAAACAAAAAAAAAAAAAAAAAAAAAAAAAAAATATTAAAAAAAAGGGAGAGAAAAAAATGATTGATTGGAAAAGTATCTAGTTTGATTGGATTCTTGATTCTCCTATGAACTTTTAAAATGAAAAAAGAAGAAAAAAATCACGAAATCGTGAAAAAGAAATTACCTACATGATAACAAACACGGAAAAGTAAGGCCAAGGAAGCTGAGGAGATTGGGTAAAACATAAACGTTAAGAATTTCACACTTTTCATAATATTTCACGAGTACTTTTGTGAGTACGAACCCGATAGTGAAAAAGATGTACCCAGGTAATAACATGCCAAACGGTTTTTTCACGATTCTTTTAAAATTATTTTATAGCTTGAAATTTCTGAAAATCAACTTGCAAAAATAATATAAGTAAATTTTATAAGTAAATTAATATAAGTAAATTCTGGCAAATTTGTTTTTACAACTTTTTCATGAAATTTTTCTCAACGCAATTCACAAGTTTTTCACGAGCTTTTGCTACAAGGGCATTCATTTTCAATTTTACTTCAATTTTCCTTCTCTTCTCCTGTGCTAGGAGTTTGATCTGCTTAAAAAAGGGTACTAACTAATTTAAGATCAGATTTAAAGCTACTAGGTACCATTATAATGTTCCATGGAAAGAGCAGGGCATGGACAAAAAGAGTTTTTAAGTGGGGAAAGGAGCATTGAAGATAATTTACTCTTACTAAAAAATGTCCAAAAAAAATTGTTGATTTAAGGCTATATAAAGCTCATGACAAATTAAGGCTCTGAAGTGCTTTAGTATTTTTTGAAAATCAAATAGAATGATGAAAATTTCAAGCTAGGTATGTATACGTATGAGTACTGAGAAAAGGTGGGTATCAACCATTTTTAGCAGGAATAAATTTGCACTTCTTTGTGTCTGTCAATGAACTCATTTGCACACGCAGTATGCCTTTTACCAAAGTGATATCATTTAGTAAATCTATTTGACTTTGGACCGGGAATTTTTTTTTTTTTTTTTTTTTTTTTTTTTTTTAGGAAAAGTAGTTTTTGCTATGTTTCTCACATAATACTGGGATTCTTTTAATGGCTAAAAGATTAATATGGAACAGATAGGAGTCTGGTAAAAACTTGCACAGTGGGGTTTGTCAGTAACATATTTAAAGATATCATTGGAATGGTAAGTCCAAGTTGTCAATGAGAAGGAAAATAACTTAAAGGAGCAAAAGGCATAGATATATTCAAACAAATTGTGATAAAAGTATGAAACACATTTAAAAATCGAAATGCAAAAGTAAAAAAAATAATAATGTAATATACTGTTACTTAAAGCTCTCCAACACAAACAGGAATGTACAATTTTTATGTTTTTTATACTCTGAATAAATTGCAAAAACGCAAATGAAAACTGAGTTTCGTTTTATTTCGAAAATACCCGAGACAGGAAAAAATATATTGATGTATGAGTGTGATTTGGAGGAATTGGCTCAGTCATAAAAGCTAATTTAGTATAACACTTCTTTGGGTACATCTGCTCAATGTTTAAATATCTGCCGAACAGTTTGCTATTTCACCAAATATTTAGGCAGAACAGTAAAATTTATTGTTGTTCTGCAAGAAAAAGCTAGTAGATGTAGCAAAACGTTCGGCAGGCTTACCTGAACAATAATGTAGAATAAGCTTTCTGACACATGCCTGAATCAGCAACCTACACACTTACATATATGAGCAACCTTGTGATGCCAAATGACCTGCAGGCACAGGCGAATCAACAATAATTTTTCTCCAGCATGAGTTCAGATTTTTAAAAAATTCATGATGAAACTGCGATAAATTGGAAATGGATCAAAATTAAAACTAGCTAATTTGTTCTTTATCTTTTCTTGTTCATTTTGTGAGCAGAGCATCGCATGATGTGGATTACGAGACTCAAATAAAACATCCAATAGAGTATGTTGATCATCATCTATTATTTCATTTTTCATTTGACTCAATTCATCCTTGCAAGCTTTTTCAAAACGTCTCAAGGCATCACAAAAATTTTCAGAAAGCAGGCTCAGATCGTTTTCATTTTCATACCAATTGACAACCTTCAATCTTGTTACATGTTTCATGAGGATCATATTCAGAAAGCTGTAATCAACTCGGCGAGACATAGCTAAAGCTAGGGGAGTCTTTCCTGAGGAATTCTCTAGACTGCAGTCAGCTCCCCAGTGTATGAGGGATTTTACAGCATCAGCGTTGTTGCATAAAACAGCATGATGAAGAGCAGTTTCTTGCAAGTTTCCTTGCCAATTGATGTCAGCATTGCATTTTGATAGGGCGGAAATAGAATACTTGCTCATTGCTCTATTAATAGGGGTGTCACCTTCTTCGTTGACAGCATCGACATTTGCATTGTTTTCCCACAAAAACTGAATCATACTGGAATAAGAGTTATCTTGAGAGTAATACTTTGCTGCCAAATGCAGTGGTGTGTTCCCATTTTTGTCAAGGGCATTTACTTCAGCCCCTTTTTCCAAAAGTAGTTTTACAATGCTAAGACGACCTCTCTCCGAGGCAAAATGCAAAGGAGTTCTCCCACCTTTGTCAGCATAGTCTACATCAGCATTATTATGTAATAATATTTCGACGACTTCATCGCAACCATATTCAGCTGCCAAGTGCAAAGGAGTTCGACCATCCCTGGTAGTAGTATTTACATCCACTCCATGCTCTAACATTTTTTTTACAATTTCCTCTTCCCTGATCATTATGTGCAATGGAGTGCGACCACAATCTGTTTTGACATACATATCAGCCTTGTGATTCAATAGTAATGAGACGGTTCTCTCCATTTTAGAATCTGATGACGCACTAATACCAGCAAAATGCAGCGGGGTTTCTCCCCTAAGAGAGACAGAATTCGGATTGGCTCCATTCGTCAACAGCAAATCTACGACTTCTGCGTGCCCCTTGGTTGCAGCAAAGTGCAGTGGAGTTTCATCCCTATAACTAGTTGCATTTGGATTAGCTCCATTCATCAACAGCAAATTAACGGCTTCTGAATGCCCATTAGTTGCAGCTAAATGCAGTGGAGTTTCATCCCAATGACTAGTTGCATTTGGATCAGCTCCATTCGTCAACAGCAATTCAATAGCCCCTGGACGGTTCTTTGATGCAGCTAGATGCAATGGAGTGAGAAGTTCGGAATCAACTTTATCAACTAATGCACCTACCCTGAGAAGTAACACTGCCAAACCTTCATTTCCTAAGCTGGCAGCATAATGAAGTGCGGATCTTTTTTTTTTATCGATATCATTGACAGATGCACCTCTTTCCAGGAGCATTTCCGCAACTTCGCTTGCTTCAACTTCTGTGTCAGTGGGACACTGAGCTGCTAGAACAAGTAGATGACTATCATAGACTGTTGGTGAACTCTCACGGTGAACATTAGCACCCGCCATCAAAAAAAGCTTTGCTAGCCAAAGTTGATGTGTTTTAAGAGCTCTGTAAAGGAGTGCATACCCTGCTCCATTCTGAATACCTTGATCGTTGATCATGCCTTCTATGATTCCATCATGAGGACCAGGAAAGCCGCGAAAAACAAAAAATTGTCTTTCATCTATTATTCTGCCAATTGCATCCATCCATGCTTGATCATCCATCCTTGTCCTTAAGCGTCTCTGACACTGCAAAAAAACACAGTAAAAAGTAAATCAAAGAGTGAAACTAATAAATCCTACTCATCATTCATTTCAGACAGTATAGGGGCAAAAGAATGTTGCGTAGTCTTGACCTTGAAACGATGAGCTTGAATCTCTTACAGAAAAAAAAAAAAAAAAAAACAATAAGTTGATACCCGAGGTTTTCAATACATACTTTATAGAATGGGTATTGAAAGGGACTGAGGATATCTTCTTTACTTGCACATCCATTTTGTGGCGCCAAAGCTTAGGGCAAATGAAAAGTTTCTTTTCCTTAATGCATTGTATGAAAAATAGAGCAAATTGCTGTGAAGAAAAAGCTACACAGTCTAAAATCACTATTTTTGACAACCAGTTTATTTAGAGAGCTGCAATTTGCTACGGCTCAGCTTGACAAATCTGATAAGGTTGCGCATCTCAGGATAAACCTTCCTGCTAATGGTAAAGTATGCATCAACTCAGTAATAATTGTACCAATTTAAAGGAAACAGCTGCAATTGATCCTATCTCAGGTAATGTATCAACCCATAAATGAAAACAAAATCTTAAGAGTTTAAGTTTCTACAGGGGCAACTTCTGAAAGATATTCCCGATGAGGTTTCATTGAATAAGAAGACATTTTTTTTTCATTCCTGGGCCTTGAGCAGAATTCAATTCAATTAAAATAAGAAAGCTGAATTAAGATTGATTAATTCTCATCCATAGTCAAAAAGTTAAATGAATTAGTGGCTGTTCGTTCTAAGAGACCTCGTATGATCATTTAAAATTGTAATTGGAGCCTCTGCTTGAAGAGGTAAGTATTTTGCTTCGATTCTGGCACAAAAAAACCCCTAAAAAATGTCAAACCACACCAGAATGGGCCACCAATAAAGACATGAATTGTGGCACCATTCAAGATGTTTCTGAATTTCATGAGAAAAACAAACCGAAAAACCACAAGTCTGGAAGTCCTACTTCTCAAAATCCTACTTAGAAAACGATTCTCACAATGGAAAGTCTGAAAGTCACCACTGAACAAATATTGACATGTCTTCTGAGCTAGGATCAAATGGACTACATTTTGCAATAAGGAGCCACTATTTCTGACTCATTTTAGAACAACACATATGCCATGGGTTTCCCTATGCAAAAAGGTACTTTTATGGAAGAGCCAGAAATAGTGGTTCTTTATTGCAAAATGTAATCCAAATTTTTTTACGAGCATGCAAGTAAACGCTGAAGTATACAGAGAGAGCGGTTGACATAGGAGACAAAAGACTGGTAGTTGGGCGTTATTTGACTATCTTGCACCCCACATCTCCTAGGTTCAGGCTAACAACATACCCCATTTGAAGCTCAATCCCAAACCAGCAGGTTTGAGCCTAAAAAAGTTAGGTAAAGCCAACTGACCTACCTACCTGTCTTGTACCTCCAATGCAAGCTTGTTTCTACTGTGAGAATATGACAACCCACAAATCGTCGCTCTTCTGACATAAGGGCGTATCTCAATTTTCACGTGAACCCTGATTCACATATAAATCCATGCTTTCTGGGGCTCATGTGAAAATCAAGATATGCCCTTATATCAGAGGAGCGACGAAATGTTCCAAACTAGGTAGTTAATGATTTTTTATATTCAGTTTTTTTGTGTATTTTTATTAATACATTTTCTGTTAGTTCCTGGGTGTTGATGGCTCAAAAAAAATAAAGAGACGTATCTTCAAAAATTGACAAATGAGGCTGCACCCAGCAGACACCTTTTTTTTTCCTGATAAGATTTCCTCAGATTAGTAGGCCAGGATGATTTCTTCAGTTCTGACAATTGAAAAGATGTTTTTATTCTTCGATAGCAACTATCTAACTTTAATCCAAAGCACGAATTGTAAGATGTCCCGACAGATATGACAGTCCAAAAGGGATCTTTGACACTGTAACAGAAAAAATTAAGGATTAAAATATTTAGAGTGATTCGCAGAATGGTGATAGGGACATTAAGTGTCACATTTATAAAATTCGTTCATATGTACCTATTTAATTATTTTTAATTTGGGTATTTTTCTTCCAAGTTCCATGAAGTGAGGCTTCATATTTTTTGGCAAAAAGTCTTTTTTTTAACCTTGGCTGATTGATATATGGTTTTTTTTTTTTTTTCAAAGATACTTACAGGAAAACAAGATGACCGAAAAAAAAGGAACTTCATTGAATGCAAGCATGACTGAATTTACATACTTGCTTTACACTTAGCTTGAAGGTGTGGTTAGGTGGATAGTGTGATATCATGCCATCTGTAAAGTATGTACCCAATATATTGTTTTTACAGATTTTCTGAGTATCTCATTAACTATTTTGTGCCTATATAAGTTGTACATAGTGCATCTGTAATGGTCTATATTAAACATCATATTGCCCCTGATTCATCCAGATTGAGATGCCACGCCACCCTCCCAGCGGCATGGCGTTTGCAACAGCACCCTGCTATCTTAGCTCTTCTTTTTGCTCATTTTTTGCCGCCCCAAAAATTTTCTGCAGCCTAGACGGCCTGTGTGTAAATTTGGCCATAAATTCACAGTTGATACACCGAGGTCAGTTTGTTGAGAAAGTTAAATGTCTGATAATGAAAATGTCGTGAAATGTCTGTTGATCTGTTGTGAATGATCTTTGCAAAACTGCAATAGGGGCTGTCAGCGTTGCCAAATAATTTCTCCCATTTTTTTCCCACTGTGCTGTTCCACTAATTAGGTTACATTCTTTATTCTTATGCAGATCCGGGAAAACTATGCAACAGAAAAACGCAAATATGGGAAATTAGTTGCCGAATTGAGAAATTCCAAAGGGCATTATGTTATCTGATTGATCTGGATCTATTGACCTTGATTGAATGAAAAGTTGAATAGTATGAATTGGGCTTAATGTTGAACTTTGGAACCTTGACTTGTGTGGAACCATACAATCCGGCAACTACATATCAGGTGAACACCAGAGAGATGTTACTAGCTATATTGCGATTAAGATTCACCCTTGCTTGCAATGAGAGACATTGCCATCTTAATTATTGAAAATGTAACTAGATATCAGGTGCATTATGTTTAAATCGAAGCTAAATGAGGAGTAGGAATTAAGGAGGAAGAGACACTTACAATTAGAGTACCTGTATAGGGAGAGTAGCGACAGATCGGTTCATGGAGGGCTTAGGGCCCAAAAGTGCAGCCACCCTTCTAAGCAACTTCTAACACACAAAATTTCACTGCCAGCCTACAGATTTCAATTCTAACCAAGATGGCTAAAAATGTACATAAAAGAGCGTTCTTTCGCAAAAATAAGTAAATTTATGCAAAAAGTAAACCAAATACATGCTTTCTAAACGACGGTTCGTAACAATTGTATTTGTAAATCGCTCTGGACATTCGAAATTCATAGGTTGGCTGCCCTTTTGGGCCCTAACTTTATTCGCGGAGGCATCGGTGAAGGCCTGATGGACTTTCGGAGTTTCAGATCTGTCGCTACTCTCCCTATACAGGTACTCTACTTACAATCTGATTGATACGTATATTGATACGTAATACAGTTACGAATTCATCTAGATAATCGCAACGAGTTAAAGGTATAGCGTTCACAATATTTACCGGAAAAAACTAAGGTAATCGTGAAAATTCAACACTCAAAGAGAAAAATGGAATGACTGGTCTGCTGATCAAATTTAATGAGATCCTAAACCTCAGCACAGATCGAAAACTTTCTATCGTGTGCAAAAACTCGATGACTTCAAATAAAAGAGAAGGAATGAAATTAAATTCACTTGGTAATCGGTAAACCTCTTGAAAATTGGCTGATAACCTAGGAATAGAATCACAGCTTTATCACTTATTCATCATTTACATTCACATTCCGCCGAACATAAAGAAATAAACCAGAGAAAACAAACAACATAACCTAAAACCTAAAGTAAACAGATAACAGAAGCCGTCTTTTATTTCGTCTACAGGATTCTTCGCGGACCGCGGACCGCGGACGATCGGTGATTTTCGTAGATACTTCAGAGAGCCAATCACAGCGAGGTAGGTGTTAACAGCGCGGACCGCTGGAGGGCGCTACTGCATTTTGTTTATGTGTACCTGATTCTGATAAGTGATAATACTGGGTGTGAAGCTTGCCATGCCATAGTGAAGCATCTAATTTAAACTTTCTTAGGAGTGCTCGATAAAAATTTTCGAAAACGAAATAAGATGAGAAATTTGGGCATAAATGCCAACACATTTCAAATGACAACCAATAAATGAATAAAACCGTAATTATTGGATAGTTATAAAATCCTGAATTGTTTCAACAGATATGAAAGTTCGAAGATCATGGGTCAAAAATTCAAAATACAAATAGAGACTAAATAGGATTGACAAATGACAAAATA